AGAGAAGGGACTTAGGGGGAAATATAAACTATGAAAGATTACCTATTTTATGTCACAGAACTTGGTAAATGGCCTGTATTTAAATAGCACCTTCTAGAGTTCTGGAACCCCCCAAGGCGCTTTACAACACAATCAGTCATTCACCCATTCACACACACAAACCCTGGTGATGATGAGGTACATTGTAGCCCCAGCTGCCCTGGGGCGCACTGACAGAGGCGAGTCTGCCGTACACATGCACCACCGGTCTCTCCAACCACCAGCAGGCAAGAGTGGATAAGTGTCTTGCCCAAGGACACAACGACAGCGACAGACTGAGCAGGGCTCAAACCTGCAACCTTCCGATTACAGGGCGAGCACCTAACTCCTGTGCCACTGCCTGGCATAACAAGATGAGATAGTCAAACCCCAAACCCATTTTTGGCTGCATTCATGCGTTCTCCTGTCTCAGCTGCAGGTTTTCAGATTCTGAGGAAAGACCTGCAGACACAAGGATGGAAACTTAGTGCGTCATCAGGCCTTTCTCCTCCCCCTGAAGCTAATCTCAGATCTGAAACCCACCTCTGTAATATGGTGGGTTCATGGTTAGAGCACCTGCTTTGCATGATGTTTCACTAAGACCTTACACCAGTTCGAATCTTGGTGTCAGCTGTATTTTATTATTTTATTGTTTTAGCTACACTTGCCCGTATTATGGTTTCAACCTTTTATTTTTTAACTGTTTAAAATAAAATATTTTTCTAATTTATTTGTTTATTTAGCCAGCTGAAGCCCATGTGAGTCCATGTGAGGTGAGCAGACTAGATCATCAGGTCTGCTGTGTCCCGTCCAAAGCATTGCAACTAAAATGCTATTTGGAAACGACCAAATTCAAAGATCTTTTAGAGGCACAAAACATTTTGAAGAAACTCATCAAAAAAACTAAACTAACAAAATGAAATTGGCTTCTCAGGGATTCAAACTTGCTATACTAGACCACTAAGCCCAATACAACAATTGAATTTCCTAAGGAACAGCTATTGTTCGTGCATTTTGTCAGAGTAGGGGTGGGCGGAGTGCTGGCGTTGTTTCCACGGACGCTTTCTGCTGATTCGCTGCTTCGTGGTGGCCCATGATGCTTTGTAGGTTATGTAATGAGTGGGCGGAGCTCAGGCCGCTGGAGGTGGGGTTGACTGAAACAGACGGTTTCATTTCCGTTTGCAAACACAGGCTGATGAAAATAACTCATATTTATAATAAAATGTCATCTCAATTGTGCCAACGGTAAGATTTCATCATACCTACCTTTGCTCCCAATGGTTTAAAATAGCATGATCTGGCCCCTTTAAGTTATTTCTTTTTTTTTTCTTCCCAGCAATAAAATTGGATCAGATGTCGGTGTGTATAAAATAATCACTCTCTGGAATTTTCATCAAAATCCGTCCAGTAGTTGATGAGATACTGAGCTACCAGACAGACACAGTGTATACATACACAACTCTGTTTCCCCTCTTTAGCAACAAGAATCACTTTAAGAAAGGTCTCTGCCTCAAAAACAAGCAGCATTAGCTTGTTTTTCTGGATAACGAGAGTAATTTGTGTCCACTGAGCTCATAATGGGCGCAGACAGAACCAGTGCAGCTTGGAAGTTAAATGGCAGCCATTAACAGGCGACCCTCTTAGCTGATGCCTCAACTCATAATCAACACTCATTATGTAGAAGTAAAGACAGCTTAGGCTTTAAATTGCTCCCAAACAAAAGTTGGAGGGAAACGTGTTTAGTGTTGACTTTGCAGCTGTTTTATGAGCCGTGTGTGTTTGAGCGGACAGCGGGGACATTGAGGAAGTAGAGAAGGTCAGCGCTTCTTCCTCTGAAAGCAGACAAGGTAGATGAAAACGCTACAGTGTGCTATTTAAGCAGCATTGAGCAACCCCCCCCCCCCCCCCCCCCCCCCGCCCCCACCTCAGAGAAGGGCGCACAGATGACGGCGGGGTAACAGTGAGGCGTTGAGCTCAACATAATAGATACAGTCATGCAGCTGAGGGTCAGATCTGGTCTCTGACACACAGAAAATGGTCTCAGAAGAACAGCTGCTCTTCCTGTTTGTTCGCCTCATCGACAGCCCTGATGCTGTTCTCAGACATGCATACTCTTCATCTTCTCACCCAGCGCTCCCTCACACTCATCTGCCACAAGGTGTATTTTCAGATACACAGGAAGTGGCAGCGCGCTGCCAGGGCATGGCGTTGATGTCATGGCAAAATTCATGTCAGACAATAGCAGCAGAACACGTACAGCAAATTGCATTTGAGTGCAAGAGGAAGTTGTTTATTTAAAGCACAATATTATAGAAGCAGCTTTTCTAACCATACTTCCTCATTGCATTAAAGTCTGAGGCTCACTTAGAAAAAATAATCCACATGAATATCTTGTGCAGATTTCATGTTCTGACTCCTGACTGTCTGCCTCTTAGCAGCCTGTTGTCTGATGACCCAAAAAAAAAGGGAAGAAACATGAAGTGAGACCGGAGCAGACACACAGAAAGATGACCTTTTCCCACTCCGGTTTACTGTAACACACCAGACGCGTGGCGTCCTCCGAGAAGTCAGACTTACATATAAATCATAACAAATCAGCTCCAACCGGCTGATGAATAATTAACGTCACAGTAACCCTCGCCCTCTTCGGGCCCGGCCAAATTAATAATGAATCAGCCAGAAGATTTACTTTCAGTTTATTCTGCGGAGCCTAAAGGAAGTCTTGACCTCTGTGTGCATTGATTTCAGCCAAGCAGAGGAGAGGATACGGACAAAACTCCTCATTTTCTTAGCAAATGAAAACTGCAGACCTCCTTTAAAACATCATCAAAGTCACCTTTGAAACTAAGTATGAGAAAAAGTTACGCTGAACAAAAACAGTCCTAACCTGCGCTGTTTTAGTCATCATCTTCTTTTCTTTTTAAATCAGTTAAGCAGCAGATACTTAGGATTATGTGTCTGTGGGGATCAATAGCTCAGACTGACGTTTGCAAAACAGCTTGAATAAAAAGAGTGATAAAACACTTCACCCAATGAAAGCGAGAGTGCAGCACTCAGGAGCCTCTAGACTTGGCCCAGTTCGCTGTCCGCTTTACGGCGAGGCGTCGGGGTGGAGTTTAACAGCGAAGATTGAGGAGAAAATGTTGGTTGAAGTCCTTTTCCTGAATCGGGTCCAGCCACATTAATACACATTTACTCTCCTTTCTGCTGCAGTCCAGCGTCACGTGCTCAAAGAGAGGAATGCAACCTGATCTCAGATGTAGCAGCTTGTGCGCGATCGATGATGAAGCGTGAGACTGAGACTTGGCTTTAAATTTCTCAGAATCAATCAGTATTAGGAGTTGATTCAGACCTTGTGGTTAAGAGTTGGGAAAGCTGCTTTTAACTAGAACAGGAGTCCTCGAGAGCCTCTGCACAGCAGGTTTTAGCTGTTTCTCTGCTCCAGTGCACCTGAATCACCTGTTCAGCAGGTCACCAAGCTCTGCAGAAGCCTGTTAATCACCTGCTAATTAAAATCATGTGTGTTCAAGCTGGGAAACCTCAAAAATGCTGGATAGGGTCCCTCGAGGACCAGGATTGGACACTGAAATAGAACAGACAGTGGCACAGGAGCCACTAACCTTGAAGGCTAGAGAAGCTGCACGTTTTACAGACTTGTGGTGCGAAGTGAAAACAGAAGTGAGTAGAACGTTAGAGCCGCTCGACAGTATCTCATGTGGCACCAGGAAGCCTGTGCAGAGAAATGGTGTGTTTCAACATTAGACCGTAGGTACAAGTAGCTGCTGCGGCCAGCATGGTGCAGCTGAAAGGCTGCAAAAGTAAAACTATTGTCCCTGATCAGATCTGCAGCTAAGCAGTTAAGCCGATTGCCACAGCTTCACCTTAAGGGAAGAGAGCTCAAACGTCAGCCTCCTACATCCAAACTCCGCCCTTCCTTCTCATCATTAAATGCTCAGCAGTTGTTTGATTAAAGGACACCGCGAGACCAAATGCGCTCATTCATGCTGCAGTGTGGGCAGCCGGCCCCTGAAAGGTGTGGAAGTGTTGTGTTGACAGGATGACGATATCCATCCTCCCAGGGTTCAAAAGTCACTCGTCTCTTCCTGTTTCACAGGACACAGACTTGCATGAGCAGGCGCAGCAGAAGTCAGCCGGCCATGACTTCCCCAAAACCCTGTTGTGTTTGACTCAGCTCTGCTGCGGCATCCGCTTGTGTCCCGTTTTACACCAGAGCCCGATGGGTGGGGGGGGTCTTGCTGTCAGTGGGTTACACCACGGTCAGTTACGGCATTCTGGTGCACAGAAATGGGCCAAACAGTTCTGTAGAAGCATGGGACAAGTCTATAAAAGAGACCTTTGGCTAAAAAACTCCAGATTTGTGTCAAAAATAAAGATTTTTTTTTATCGTAGTGTGTGTTTATGTCTGCACTTGTGTCTCTAAATAAATTAAAAAGCACAAATGTCCATCAAATACCTTTGATTTGGACTTCTTCACCATTTTGACAGAACATGGAGCACAGAGGCAGGGGTAAACACTCCTGCCTACATGCATTATTGAGTTTCTCAGTGACGGAGCCTGAATATGGAAGGATGAAGGAGTCTGCAGAGAGAAGCAGACCTTTGAGAGGGAGCTTATGCACCAAGTCTTTAAATAATCCTGGACAGCATCAATCACACCTCTGCTGCTGCTGCTGTTGGACAGAATCTGTTTGCTGAATCAAACGTTAATCTGAGTGGAACCAAGAAGCTGGATGCTGGAGACATGGAGTCACGTTCGTGGAGAGCTGTGGATGGTGAACGGTGTTTTTCTAGATGCATGCTGCTTGTTGGTTTCGCTCAGCTGGTTTTTGTTGCGTTCTCAGGGGTTGACTGTTTCAGCTGCATGGGCTCATATTAGAAAATGACTCAGCTGTCAGCGTCAGAGTGTAGCCTGCAGCTGAACTGAAAGAGGAAATAGATATCTGCAGATTGGACACCGTTTTGTTGTAGTTCAGTTGTGCAAAGGGTTAAAAACGGCAGAGGCGGGATGCAAAGCTCAATAGAAAATAGGTTCATGTCATGTTGTTCTTTAAAAACAGAAAACTGTTCAAATCAGGGTTCAGTCATTTGTTCTGATTCAAGTGAATCCTACAGATTAAATCCTTCTGATGGATTTAACCTCACAAATGTTTCTGTTCTTGGTTCGTTTTGACGCTTGAGGGGAAGTATTGTAAAATGTCATTTTGTTTTGTCACACTGATGTATGCAGCAGGAAGTACAGCAGCAATACAAACACGGTCCTGCCATGTGAGGCGAGCAGAAACGTAAAGGGGGCAGTTCCTCTTTACTTTGTACTTCTGGTTAAGGTAAATCACACACTTCTGTAACGGGAGCGAAAGCTTCCATGTGATGAGAGAATCTGCCTCAAAGCTAAATAATTATCTGGATCTGATCTAACGCATCACACGCCGTTACAGGTGAGCAAATGATGCTCTTATTTCATGAAGTTTTGCTTCTTTCTATCCAGGAAACCGTGTTAGAGGAAATGGTTTCTGATTTTGATTTGAAGGGAAGCGTATCAAACAATGAAGAGTGGCGTAACGGTAAATCAGAACATTTAGATCCTTTTGGCGTGAAAAGAGCAACTGGAAACAGAAATGACTTTTAACAGATACGCGAGGTTTAAATGTCGTTGATGTCTGAGTCACATTGAGGTGTTTGACAGGTTTTCCCACAGCGCTGGTGCTTCTTGTCTGGAGATAAACACGTTTAATAACTGAGAGTCGTTGTGGTTGAAGCTTTGTTCTGCTCAGCATGCTCTGCAGTTGATCATGTGAGCTAAAACACGCGAGGAGAGCTTTCTACATACGATGGAGCTTTTGTCTGAATCTCTGAATTATTTCTCAAATCACACCAAAGAACACAAATTAGCAATATTTTCAAGTTAAGATACGTGTTTGATGATAAGTTGAAGACGTTTGGCTTGCATAGTTGTTTTTGTTTATTAGGACAGAAATATTATTTTCTTTTGCAGTTTTCTGATCGAGTTCCTTCATTTTAAAAGTGCCAGATAAATGCAAAACAGGGAAGGCTGTTATTGGTTTAACGTTCAGGAAACAGCAGAGAACGTCCCTGTTAGTAGAAGCTAACCGTTAGCATTCGCAACTGCACCACACAGCGGAAGCTCCTCCAGGCTTGTGTTATTTGAGATAAGACAACATCACAGAGCAAACAGAGCCAGTGGTAGAGCCGTGTTGCTGTTAGCCAATCAGAGGAGAGATGTCCAAATATCAGGACATAAAACTCCAGATCCTGCAGTGTTGAGCTCTCCTGTGATGTGCCAGACTTGTCCCTGCTGTTCCAGTCGTTTCTGGGCTTTTTTTTGCCCCGAGTACGGCTTGCAAGGCATTCATTCCTGCCAGAGACCACTGAAAATGTATTGATTAAATGAGTTTCCCACACCTTTAAGATGATGAATCGCTGTGTTCATCTTTTAAATAAGAATTCTGATTCCAAACTTAGGATGCACACTCACCTGCCGTTATTTCTATTTAGTTTTTAGTTAAACTCTTGGCCCTTTTCCTGTTTGTGCCGCAGGCTGATGGACGTGGGCTCCTTTGTTGTTCGAGCAGATTAAACCGAGTTCTTCTGAATCCGTGGGGGACTGGATGAACTGTTATAGAAACACGGATCATTTCGTGGGTCGGGGTCATAAAGCATCTCAGGAATATGTGAGTGTAACAAAGAGACGGATAATCTGAGTTCAGCATGAGCTGCATGTTGGTGGAGTGTTTCTGGTCGACCCAGGAAGGAGTGTTTGTTGTTGAAACAACATGAAGGAGACCTGTTAGTTCTGAGAGGAAAATCAGCTGCCAAATAAAAATGTACACCCACTTCCTGGTGGTTGGGAGAAAATGGACTTCTCATACAGTCATCAGCGTTTGAGAGCATGTAGATCACACTGCACATAATCATCACACAGGAGAAATTATACGGGTGGTGTTTGAGAACATTCATTTGAAAGCTCTTAGAGAGGAACATGAGCAGGTTTTCAATGTCAGACCTTCCCTCAAATGGTCGGAAACATATTGGATCTCAGTCAAAGAAACTAATTAATCATATTTCTGTTCATCTTTCCATATTATTAATGGTGCCAAAGCACTGAAGCATCCTTTCAACATACATTTGTTGGAAAATTTAAACCATGGTGACCATAATGAGCCAATAATCTTATAAATAAGGACCTTTGTGCACCTGAAAGTCATTTTTAAGATCGCATTTTATTTAAAAAAAAATAAACTCAGAAATTCAAACAATAATTAATTTGTTTGACTCACACTGATGTTTGAAACCCTGAGATATATGTCTCAAGTGAAAATTCTGTTTATTGGCAGGCCAATAAACCAAAATCCCCTACTCGCAAATTCCCACAAAACCTCTTCTAGCATGAAAGTGTCCAGATGGAGCATTAGGATTAGTACTTTCATCAACCCCTCCATAAAGGGTCAATTTTAAAAGGGTAGACATAAAGAATGTTAATATTTTAACATGTAAACTTCAGATCAAATATGTTAGAAAGGAAACTGGATGACCACCTCAAAGCCAAAAGTGACTCCTGCTAAATAACAAAGAAAAACACCCACTAAAGACAGAAACTTCTAATACAAATCTACTAGAATTACCATAAACACCGCGTCTCGCGTCATTTCCCAGCACGGCATTCAAACCCTCACAATCTGATGTCCACATGAGTCAATCAGCTCATTTGTCTTTAAAGGATTTTTACTGTCAGATTTAAATGTCAGTGCATTCTCTCACAGTGAGGAAATGGAGAGAGTGTGTAGCAGACAAGCAGGGGAAACAAAGATTTCTTGTCACTTCCTCCCCTCACTCTTTATCATTTTTTAGAGTATGTATGCCGCCAATTTGAAAGGGAACTTCTTTATTTTAAAGACAAAACACAAACTCTAATGATGTAAATTAATTCACTTTAAGTTTGTTTAAAAGCATAAGCCCACATAGCGTCCTCTGATGCAATAGAAATACGGTTTTGTGTGTGTGTGTGTGTGTGTGTGTGTGTGTGTGTGTGTGTGTGTGTGTGTGTGTGTGTGTGTGTGTGTGTGTGTGTGTGCGCGCGCGTGCTTCTGCACTGCTCTGCACCTGCTCTTCAGGCTGCAAGAGAAGCGAGATGCATGTGACGAAGCGAGACAGGAAGAAGCCTCATACCTTACTGGCATCAAAATAAGGTTTCATCTTGAGCCGATTGACGTGAGTTTGGTCAAAGATAGGATACGGGTGACAGGAACAGCCTGAAGTCTGTTTTCACGGTGAGTCGCTAGCACGTCCTCTAAGGATACATTTAAATAGAGAACTTTACTGCTTAGTTTATTTTAGCATTAATATTTGGCCTTTTAACCTCCTGAAAATAACAATAGATTTCCTCTGAACAAGACGCCAGTTGTATGTTTTACAGATATATTAGAGAAGTAAACACAAACATGGGGTGAGGTTAAAAAGTATTTGTCAGCCACCGACTGGGTAAGCTGTCCCACCTAAAAAGATGAGATGTCTGTAATTTTCATCATAGGAACACGAGGAACTCAGATTGTTTTGATTTTTAAAGAATTTATTTGTTTAAAGGTGCAGAACATTAGTATTTGGTCAGTAACGAAAGTTCACCTCAATACTTTTTCATGTTCAAGAATGACAGACGAACATGTCTGTAGGTTTTCACCAGTTTGCACTCCCTAGCTGGTATTTTGGCCCATTCTTCCATGTAAATACCAAAGTCTCATCTGACTACATGACATTCACTCAGTCCTCCTCTGGATCTTCTAGATGGGTGTCTGGCAAAATCCAGACAGGCCTATATGTGTGGGGGCCTTTCAAGCGCTGTAGGATTTCATTCCACAATGATGTAGTGTGTTGTCCCAGTTCTCTCCAGGTCACTCCCCAGTGCCCTTGTGTAGTTCTAGACTGTTTCTCAACCTTCGCAAGGTCAATGGTATCCCTCAAGGTGAGATCTTGTATAAAGCCCCAGGTCAAGGGACATTGTCTGTGATCCTGTTTTTATTTATTTTCTAAGTGGATCTCTTCTCACCAAGCTGCTTGCCTATTGGCTCATCCCAGTCTTGTTCAGGTGTCGAATCTCATCCCAGGTGTCTTTAGACAGCTCTCTGGCCTTAGCCGTAGTGGAGGTTGGAGTCTGAAGGTGTGGACAAGTTGTACAAATAACGAGTTTTAACAGTTACCATTAATACAGGTAATGAGAGGAGGATAGAAGAGCTTCTTAGAGATGTGATAGGTCAGTGAGGGCCAGAATTCCTGCTTGTTCGTTGGTGCTTATTATCTGCATCCTAAATATAAATACATTCTTTAAAATCCATAAAATGGGATTTCCTGGTTTGCTTTGCATTCTGCTGAAGAGTACCTGTGATGAAAATTACATGAGTGATGTTTATTTGACATGGACACAGCAATTACATTGGACGAACCAGATGCATTGTTTAGTGTGTTAGCACACGTGCTAATTTGCAACACTTGTCCATAGAACCTTTCTAAAAAGTAGACTACATTTAAATAAAATACAAAGAGATCAACAATAAATCAAAGAGAAAACAGATTAAAATTGCAAACAATTTTCAATAAAAAAGAATAAAAAGAATAAAACAAGGCAATTTGAGCAGCAATGCAAGACTTTAAAACTATTCATGTAGACATTGTTGTTTAGACTTTAACCATTTTTTGAGTTCTTTGTTAAAAACGTTACTGTCCGTTTCTAGTTTTAGGTCAACAGGTAGAGAGTTCCACAGTTTGGCCCCCTTTACAGAAAGAGCAGACTGACCAAAAGAAGTCTTTCACCGCGGGACGAGACAATCGCCGCAGGTGGAGGCTCGAGTGATCGTTCTATGAGAGCTCCGACGTCTGATGGCCACAGTAGAGAACAGTTTAGACAATTTATCATTTAGACAATTGAAAAAGAATCTTAGAGTGCTAAAATTAATAAAATTTTCAAAAGTGAGAAGATTATGTTTCCTTAAAATACGGCAATGATGCCATTTCAATGGTTTCTGGTCCATAATTTTTATTGCTTGCTTGTATATTAAGACTATAGGTTTTAGAGTGGTGGATGAAGCCTGTGACCATGATGTAATGCAGTATGATAAGTGGGGAAAGATCAGTGCATGCATGTACAGTTTAGCAGTTTGGTGTGACAGGTTCCTTCTGATAAAACGGAAGCAGTTTAAATTTGTTTTAACCTTATTACAGACGTGCTTAACCTGACTGTCAAATTTTAGGTGTTTGTCTAGGATGATCCCAAGGTACTTCACATCACTCCTTACTTCAATGATTTTCTCTTTAATCCTAACCTGAAATAGTTCCTGATCAGGCCTGTTTCTCATGGAGAAGCATATGGACACAGTTTTTTTAACATTAAGAGTTAGGTGGGATGACTCTAGCCATTCTGAGATGTCTGATAAAGCCTGCGTCAGGCGCTCTCCTGCCAGGCCAGGTGTTTTTGTGGACACATAAATGACGGTGTCATCAGCATACATCTGGCAGTTGACGCCTGAGCAGCTCATCGGAAGGTCATTAATGTACATTGTAAACAGCAATGGACCAAGCACGGATCCTTGTGGTACACCCATGTTGTTTGCAAGCAAACTTGACTTGACCTCATTAACCCTAACACACTGCTGTCTACCCTCCAGGTGTGAACTGAACCATTTCAAAGCTTCAGGTGATATTTTAAATTGCATTAGTTTATTAAGTAAGATGCTATGGTTTACTGTGTCAAAAGCCTTTTTTAGATCCAGAAACACTGCCCCTACAACACATCCTTTATCCAGAGAAGTTTTGATTTTTTCAAGCAGATAACAATTTGCAGATTCTGTGGAGTATTTCTGTCTAAAGCCAAACTGCTGTGAATAAAGCAGTTGGTTGGACTCTAAGTGATCCATTAGTTGCTCAGCTACAATCTTTTCTAGGATTTTTGAGACTATCGGGAGGATGGCAATAGGCCTGTAGTTACTTGCTAAGTCCTTTTCTCCCGATTTGTAGACTGGAGCAATTATTGCAGTTTTCCAGCTTTCTGGGAAACTCTTTGTTTGAATTGATAAGTTTACTAAATATGTGATTGGCTCCAACATATAACTGTGATGTTTCTTAATAAATGTAGTATTTAAGTTATGGATATCCTTTGCCATGGACATCCGCATGTTTGTTACAGACCTCTCATCTTTTTACGTGGAACAACTTGCACAATCGTTGGCTGCCGAACACGTTTTGCCCCTCTGTGGTAAGTGGTGCTTTGAGAGGCTGCTTACTCTTATTTTTCTCGTGAGCTGCCAGTGAGCCAGGAAGGCCCCTCCCCTCTACGCTCTATTGTGAGCTTATACAGGGTGGATGTGCGGTGCATTAAACTCACTATTGAACTATTTAAGGAAACTTTGGAACAAAATAAATACAGAAATACAGAAATATGAGGCTTTGGTCCAGAGCAAAACATGTGTCAGATCAGTTTTTATTTTGGACATTTTGCTGTTTCAGTTTCAGTTTTATGAACTAATTTCAGTTTTTGTAGTGCGCTGATCTTCCCTACGACTTATTTCTCTGAAATCCTTTGTTTTTTTGAATTGGTCTCTTTAATTATACACCAGAGTAAATCCCATTGCTATTAGTGGAGCAATCCGCGTTAAAAGCTTCCATTTTTTTCTGCTTTTTCACACAGGTGGCCAGTGTTTGGAGGCTGCAGGCACTGAGGAGTGCAGACTGATGGGTGCCATGTTGAACAGGTTGATACAGATAAAGCCTCTCCTGCACAGAGGACATAAAGACAGGCTCCAGTGATGATCCTCCCATCCTCACTCCTCTGCAACGAGCATCCTAAAACTAAACACATGCACATGTGGATGGACCCCTCCAGCAACTTCCAGCACACCTTCTCCTCCATCACGCCCACTCACCGACTCACTGACAAAGTGTGGCATCTCTCACAAGCACCTATGAGAGCCCAAAGGTTGAAAGAGTTCTTCCATCTTAAGTGGTGTGAATGAGACTTCATTTGTTGATTTCACTTTGCTGGATTTTTCATTTTCATGCACAGCCTCCCCATTTCACACCAGCACCAGAGCAGGATAAAAGGTTAACTGGGACAGCTGAAACCTCCAGGGAATATCACATCACACTAGATTGGAGTCCCTTTCTCAGGCACCATGCAGTCAGATGACTTCTTCATCCGGAAGTTTCGCCGTCAGAATGTGCGGCCGCCCATCGCCGCTGTCACTTTTGACCCCAAACGGGAAGCGGGTGTAGTGGAGTGGCCCCCCCGGAAGGCCGGTGACGGAGCTGAGGCAGACCGCCTCACTCCGAGCCGCGTGGGGTTGACCCTGCGGCCAATGGGACGGGGTCACATCATGCAGAGGAGCAACAGCGATGTGACCTTAGGAGACCTGGATTCCTCTGGGAAAACTGGGGGGAAAGTGATCCGAGTGGTGGGTGAAAAGGTGGGAGCGGGACTTCAGGGGGACTCCGGCGTGCTGCTACACAGGGAGTATGGCAGCCTGTCCTCACTAGAGAGACAAATTCAAGCCCAGGAGCCAAGCGCAGAAGACCACGGGCCCCTGAGTCCAAGTGCCCTCCGCTTCAAAGACCCCTTTGTGCTTTTAGGATTGCATGAAAACCTTGCAGAGCCTGACGGGTTCTTTCGGGGTTTGTCTTCCTCTTCAGCGGACTCACAAAAACCCGACAAACCACCAAAGCCTGAGGGTCTGGGTAAAAAGTCCAAATCTACACCCCCTCAGATCCCCCAGCCAGGCCCATATGATAACCTCGGAGGTGGAGCGTGGGTGAGGAACTTTGCCCACTACGATGTTCAGAGCATCCTGTTTGATCTCACTGAGGCGGCCTCAAACAGAGACAGCATTGGACGCAAAAAGAACATCACCTCTGGGGCTTCAGCTGCCTCCCAGCTTCGTCCCCTCTCGCAGACTACCCCGTCCTCACCAGCGCAGGGTGGCGTAGGAAACAGCGGGAGCGCCGATGACCCCGAGCAGTCGCTGCTGCTGGATGAAGGCGACGGCAACGATAATGAGCTCCTCCTCAGCTGTCCCCACTTCCGCAACGAGACCGGAGGAGAGGAGCAGGTGGGTCTGGGTCTGTCGTCCGGCCGGAGGGGGCTCTGGTCGAGCCTGAGAACCCCCAATGACGCCGTTTCTGTCCTGGAGGAGCCCAGAGAGAGTCACGTCCAGCTGCAGGGCAAGAGCAACTACTTCATAGAGTATGCAGACCTGGGAGCTCATTACTATCGCAAATACTTCTACATGAAAGGTACGTGACAGTGCAGGGGTCAGCAGGTCAGCCGCAACATGCAGCCGTTTCTTTTACATCATTCTTTTGTGGGTTTGGATCATCTTGATGTAGTCTAAAACATTAGAGAGAAAACCTTCATAAATGCAAGTTCTTGCAAAAACGACTCAAATAAACTTTACTGTTAACCTAAATATTTAAATGTGTGCCACCTAAGCAGACCTTCTTTTGTTTGTTTTAAAAGCTTCACTCTTTTTTTTTTTACTGAAAAATGATTTTAAACATTCACTTCAACAAGAATTAGGATTTCTTGCTAATATAATTGAAAATGCACTCAGCTCAGATTATTACCACAAACAGCAAAAAACAGCACGGTAATGAGAATGTACTCACTGTGGTTCTGTGAAGTTGTTTACTTTTAATTAGCTTTAATAAAAAATTCCTTTTATTGACTAAATGGTGACTTGGCTTTATTGCATCTGTCTGTACACCTGCCATGTTGCTTCACTCAGCAAAACCTCCCGTCTAAAGAGAGCAGATGTGAGGTTTAGCTCGACTGCTGTGTGCACTAAACTTTAAGGAGCTTTTGATGAATGTTATTTAGTTTTGCATTAACTTTATTTGTATTTACTTTAATTAAGTTTACAATAAATGCGGATGACAGAAAAATGTCAAAAACTTTTCAGAAACAAAGACTTTTTTATATGAAATAAAACTTGGAACTTTCTTCTAAGCATTTTTTAAAATCTGGATACAGTCTCAGTATTTTTATCCAGTTACAGACTTCCCTAGCTGTTCCTAATGTTTTTTTTTTCATCCCAGAACACCAGAATTTCTTTGGGAACGACGATCGCCTCGGTCCGGTGGCCATCAGCTTCCGACGAGAGGAGAAAGAAGGATCCAGCGGAGCTCAGTACAATTACAGAATCATCTTTCGCACTACAGAGGTAAAGCTGCCACTTATTCACCTTCTGGTCCATCCTGCGTGATCCTGAGCTGATCGAAACCCTCTCCTCAGATGAAGACACTGCGAGGTTCCATCTTGGAGGAGTCGGTGACCTCGGCTGCGCGTCACCCGACCCCTAAAGGCCTGTCTCCCAAACGCCTGCTGGAGTTCATCATGCCTGAACTCAACCTGCACTGCATCCGCCTGGCCTCCAACTCCCCAAAGGTCCGGGATACCCTGCTCAAGCTGGACGAACAAGGGGTGAGGAGCGCCTCTGCTTCAAATTTGTGGATGGGAATATTTAAACTGTTTTAGCCATTTATCGTCCACGTTGACGGTGTTTGTAAGTATCTGCAGAACTTCAACAAAAACCTCCAGAAACTTGAAACAAGCTTTGTTCACACAACCAGAATATATAAAGAAACTTTTTCATTTTTTAACACAAAACAGAAAATTTAAAATAAGCACAAGAATCCAAATAATAGAAATTTCCCAATAAAAGGTTCAATTTAGTTGATTTAGTTTTGTTTCTCTGTGCAGCTGAATTTTCAGAGGAAAGTCGGGGTGATGTACTGTCGCGCTGGGCAGAGCTCAGAGGAAGACATGTACAACAACGAGAGCTCTGGACTGGCGTTTGAAGAGTTCCTGGATCTGCTGGGCGAGCGGGTGCGGCTGAAGGGCTGGGAGAAATACCGAGCTCAGCTGGACACCAAGAGTGAGCTGAAAACACCCTCCACACTCCGTCTCTATTAGCTGCATCTCACTCTGTCGCAGCGCCGTTATCCAGAGGGCATCAGTGTTCCTCTGAAAGGCTGAGATAACGGTTATCTAGCTGCATGTAATCTGAGTAATGCCTGCGAAATAGCATAGTCACTGCTGATTATCTCCCAGCTTCTGCTTCCATCAGTGAATTCCATATAGTTTGTGTTCAGTCGTCAGTTCTGGGATGATGAATTCTGTGTGTGTGTGTGCGTGTGTGTGCGTGTGTGTGTGATGCTGTGGATTTACAGCGGACTCTACTGGATCACATTCCCTCTACACGCGCTACCAGGACTATGAGATCATGTTCCACGTGTCCACCATGCTCCCTTACACTGCCAACAACACACAGCAGGTAAACGACACGCATGTTGCATTTGACTCTAATGTGATTGCATCAGTTCCACCTTTCCGCACAAACTGTTTTACCAAACGCTTTAGAAAAATCATCTGTGCACCAAAAACATGCATGACGTAAAAATCCTGCCCTGCAGCCGTAACTCCCTCCCTCGTGGTTTTACTGTTGCCGTGCGAACCTCGCGGACGCGTCAAGCATAAACCAACCGTTAGAATCCGTTCAGGTACATTTATACATGTCTACAGTTATCTGGGGTTGCGTTATTTTGTCAATTTGTTACTTTTAGTTCAACATAGCATGTTGTGAATCAGTTGCAAGTTTACATCCACCCCAGCAAACATTTGGACGTTTAATGACTGTTGAAACGTCAAACCGACATGTTCCATTATGGTTGAAAAATAGTTCCAAAATGAAAGTTGAACCGACATCTTTTCTGACCGTGACTTAAACGGCTTTCAGCACCTCTCATTTGGACGTTTAATAATAAAAATTTAGGCCCCTTATTACCGTATTAATGTAAAAAATATATATCATTACTGTAAAATATATCATTACTGGAATAAAAAAATACATTCCACATGTATTTCCATCTGAGACGGAATCTCGTATGTCCCAGACCCATCTTACCTGGTGACAAGGAAGGCTATTGCTGCTTTAGGGCCCAGGAAACAGCAGAGAATGTTTGGACTAGCAGAAGCTAACCCTTAGCATTAGCAACTCCACCACACAGCAGAACTCCTCCAGGCTTGTGTTTTTTGTGGAGATAAAACATCAGCATTGCAGAGTAAACAGTCAGTGATAGAGTCACTTTCCTGTTAGCCAGTCAGAGGTGAGATGTCCAAATCTTGCCGTCTGAAGCTACTTTCTCCTCAACTGACTTCGACGTGCTCAAACAGAAGCATCTAAGCTTTTCCCCCCAGAGAACTTCTTACAAGGCATTCATTTCTAATAGGAACTGCAAATGTATTAAAAGTATAATTAAAATGGATCTTTAAATAATATTTATGTTTCTGTGTCCTTGCTTGGTCTCGTCAGCTACTGAGGAAGCGACACATCGGTAACGACATTGTGACGATCGTGTTCCAGGAGCCGGGCGCCCTGCCCTTCACTCCAAAGTCCATCCGCTCCCACTTCCAGCACGTCTTCATCATCGTCCAAGTCCACAAGCCCTGCACTGACCACACCTATTACAGGTCTGACTTGATTATTCCTGACATGTCTCTGCCACAAGGAATCTCACATACTGAGAAAGAAATTTTGTTTGCTGAGTGCATTTTAGATGACAATGTTTTCATTTTTTGTTCATTGTTAAAATCAAAACTTAAAACATGACATGAAAAAAAAATTCTGTAAATCCTCGAATTTCACTCAAAGCATGCAATTTAAAGAAAATATAGTTTTTTGGGATTTGATTCATTAACTGTGTTTCTGTAAAGTCTTAGATACATACTAACACCTATTATTTCAGTGAAGTTTAAAGTTTTGTACCCAGTACTGATCCCTGTGGTATCCCACCATCGGTAAATCAGACGCCACATTATTAGTTTAAGTATCCGTATATCTTTGTCTAAGGTAACTATTATCCAATAATCTGCTGTTTATATCACTGGACTGCATGGTGGTGCAGTGGGTAGCATTAGTGCCGTGCAGTGAGAAGGTCAGGTCAGGCTGCAGCCTTTCTGTGGGGAGTGTTCTCCTCGAGCCTGCAAGCATTTTCCAGTTATCTTCCTCTAACAAAAAACATGCATGTTAGATTTATTCACTGCACTGATGTCTCGCCTGCTAAATACATAAACATACTTTGTCCAGATTTGCTGTACTAATCAGCTAAAATAGAAAAGTAACTGCAAGAATAATGAGAATTGTTTTTCCTTAGTGTTGCCATGCAGGAAGTCGGCTACTAAAGGTGTTAGAGCATTCTTTAAGGTGTGAGGAAGCTGAAGAGGAAGTACGAATCTTCCTACAAAACCTGCTGCTCTGAAAACAAGACATAGATTAAGTGTTTCTGCTTTGCCCCTGACTCTGCTCTTCCCTCCTCTTCTCTCAGAGTGGCCGTGACACGCTCTAAAGACATCCCATTATTTGGACCTTTGTTCCCAAAGGGTGCGCGGTTCCCTCGCTCGCCTGCCTTCAGAGACTTTCTTCTGGCAAAGGTAGTGAATGCTGAAAATGCTGCTGAGAAGTCGGAGAAGTTTCGCTCCATGGCCACCCGCACGCGGCAGGAATACCTGAAGGACCTGGCGGAGAACTACGTGACTACCACCACCATCGACTCCACCACCAAGTTCCCCCTTCTCTCCCTGGGGAGCAAGCGAAAAGACAAGATGAAGGGCGCTAAAGGAGCTGAGCTGCACAGTGCCGGTGCACTGGTGTGGGCAGTGATGGTCAACAGAGGAGACGAATGGGAAGCAGGAGAGCCCAAGCTCCCGTGTCTGCTGGGGGTGTCGGCAGAGTCGGTGGTGCTCATCGAGAGGTGCAGTCGCAGGGTGGTGTTCAACTGCTCCTGCCGTGATGTCATTGGCTGGAAGGCAGTGACAGAGACTAAGGAGGGGGGGCCCTCTTTGGATATTTACTATGAGCGTGGAGAGTCGGTGTCAATCAGCGTACTGGAGAACCAAGCAGAGGACATAAAAGAGGTGGTGCAGAGGCTGGAGGTGGGTCGTCGTAGCCCCAGATGAAAGTTTGTATCAGTCGCCACATTTCAGTCTGATTCCTTGATTCTGCTCTGATTCTTACCAGCTGGTAACTCGGGGCTGTGAGGCTCTGGAGGTCACCCCCCTGCGGGACGGAGTGGGGCAGCCCGGCTTCCTGATGAATGAGGAGGGCTTTGTGACAGAGCTGCAGAGGTTCTGCTACGCCGAGAGCGGCGGCCTGCAGCTCTGGGCTCGTGTGGTGCGGCTGTGCGGACACTCCCTGGTTCATCTGAGCCCGGAGGAGAGGACCAGGCTTCTCCGCACCGCCCACAAGATCCACATCACCGTCATTCCCCCGGATGAGAACGGCAAACCTCGCAGGTTGGTGAGACTGGAGGAGGACAGTCTCAGATCACAGCTCAGTCTGCTGTTAATGACAAGCTTGAGTTCAGTTAATCCCTTCTAATGATGTTTCATCACACCGGCACTGCCCGCCCTACTGTAACCAGCAGCTTTCTACTCATCCAGAATCAGAGAAACAGCAGGAACAGCTGTGGACAGAGTAGTTAGAATGAACTAAAGCTAAATTAAACTGGACATCTCTGCTGCTGTCAGCTCCAAACGACGTTACAGAGCTGGCAGCAGAAGTATCCTCAGAGAACTCCATGCCTTATTTATGTTTGAACCCTGAATCGCTGCTTCTCTGGCGCAAAGCCCGAATTGTCACAATGATGTTATCATTTCTGACGGAAAGTGTGTTTTCAGAAAAATCTTTATGTTTTAGGCTTCTTTTTGATTCAAAGATGAGGCATAATAATGCAATGAGGTTCTGTTGTTGTGAACCCTCGCGGTCCCTGCGCTCCTCTGGCAGCCGTCTCCTTGTCATTCCTAAAGTCAGGACTCACGGCGAGGCGTATTTTAGCCTCCGGAACGGGCTGCTGGAGGATCTCAGGGCCTCAGAGAACCTTCATGTTTTTACGAACAGGCTCAAGACCCACCTTTTTAGTTTAGCTTTTAATTGATTACTATTTATTGCATTGCTTGTTTTACTTATTCATTTATTTTAATTACTGTTGTGTTACACATTTATGTTGTTTTATTTCTATAATCACATTTTATTGGATATTTTACTATCCGTATTAGCTCTTGTAATTTTACGTATTTTAATCCTTCCAGTGTTTCCTCTGTGGAGCCCTCTGCCTTGGGACCGGTGGTCGGTGGCGGCGGCTGGGGCGCTCCTAGGGTAGTGCCCAGGTAGTGGTGGGGGTTGCCACCCTCCCTCCCTGGGCACCCTGGATTGGTGTCTTGGCTGCTGCCATGGATCTGCTGCTGTCGAGGCAGATGGCTCCTTTGATGGCGTGTCTTTCATTACCTGTCCAATCTGAGCTCAGCCTAGTGTTTAATGTGTATGAGTGTGTGTGTGTGTGTGTGTGTGTGTGTGTGTGTGTGTGTGTGTGTGTGTGTGTGTGTGTGCCTGGGAATGGTTTGTGGATTGGGGAGGGAATGTGGGTTATATCGGTCATTTTAATCTGTTAAGCACTTTGTGTTGCTTGCTGTGCATGAAAAGTGCTGTGTAAATAAAGTTTGATTTGATTTGATTAGATTTGTTGTAACAAAGAATTTCATTGTTTTGTGTTCTGCAGAAGCTTCTCTGAGCTGTACCAGAAAGCCATCAAGGACGCGGAGTGCAAGCCCGGCGAGGATCGATCAGGAGAGGCCTGGGTGGTGGATGAGAGGGAGGAGGAGGAGAAGGAGGAGGACCTGAAGCCGGACAGGGTCGGTGAGGCGAAGCCTGCTGAGATGCAGGTAGAGGCAGACGGGGGTGAAGAGGAAACGTTTGATGAAGGTCTGAATGAAGGCAGTCCCACCTCGCATCTGTCGCCACCGACTTTACCGTTGTTGAGAGCCACGTCTCTGCAGGACCCACCAGCCAATCAGAACCAGGGGAGCAGCACCACACAGCTGACTCGTAGCCTGTCTCTGGAGAGACAGCTGTCCTACACAGACACGTATGATGGGTGAGTCGAAGGCAAGAAAAAATATCTGCAACAGTTAAGTTAGCAACAGGTTTGAATGGTTTTCATCTGTAGAGAAAAACACATTTAGGACATTTTATACTTTTATAAGAGAAAACAGTTTTCCAGTCCAGCTTAATTTGTAATAAACCTCAATAAACACACTAAAATCAACATCTCCCATGGTGTCAAAGGTCAAGAGGCCTGTTATTTCCTGTTCAGGAGCAGGAAAAGCAAAAGCATCCATGAAAGTTGAGGTTCACTAAAACAAACGCCAAATGTGTCGTTTTTACCATTAATCTCTGGAAACATCCATCGAAATGTTGCTGAACATGAATGTAATGATGCCCAGTTGTTGAAAATTTTTGGAAGCTTTGGAACATATAACCATAAAAATCGGGTCTAAAATACCTGGGAGTGGGTCTAATCTCTGGGTGACGCCATGTTTCCTTCCATGGGAGGACAAAATACATTTACTGATTTGGTTACAAAACCTTCGCTATTCATAAACGTTGCTTTAAAAATTTACCTCTTCACTCGCTGCCAGTGATTAAAGGAATCTGATTATGTGCTTGTTGTTTTGCTGGAGGATGCACTCCCAGTGATTGTTGACCCTAATAGTCATGCCCATCTACTTCAGGACCACGGTCCCCTGAAGATCGAAAAAATGAACGCAAGTCAATGGGCCAAAAAAACGCTATTTTCTTATTCCGCTTGTTTTGTGCGATGAATTTCACATATGATGTCTGTGAATTTTAAAGAAGCATTTTGATAACAAGAACGCACTTTTTTTTTCGAACAGGGGGAAAAGCTATTTTAGATTTTGTGTGAAAATAAGTCCAGAACTACAAATGTGATTCATGGAAGGGACGTCATCGAACCAGATACAGAGAAAAACCGAGGGAAAATGGCTGTAAGTTCAGTGAACTTGAAATCCTTCCTTCAGGAGGAAAGAACCACCATAAATATGGCCATGTGGTAATTAGCAGCTACGCTAGCGGGGAGGAGATTCTGTGGTGACACCATGTATGCGACGTGCCAATGTCCGATTCGTAGTCATGCTAATTACAACTTTTACAAGCTGATAAATCTCTAAGTACGTGACTGGCATGGTCGAAACCCCCATCATTAGTTTTCATTTCAATTGCAGTACAACAAATGTGCGATCTAGGGCTTAAGGCAAAGCGGATTAGAAAATAGCTCTTTTAGCCTCGTTGACTAGCGTTCATTTTTTCGTTCTTCCGATGGCCCATGAGTCAACAGGAAAGGGAGGAGACAGGCTTCCTATGCAGGAAGAGTTAGCATTTAAGCTAGGTTGGTTTGCTTTACTGACAGAGGCATCTGCGTCACCCGTAGTGCATGCTGGGAACAAGCACTCATTCTCGTTGATTGACAGCACCCTCCTGAGGAGGCTTACCCTGGTTTCACACTGAAGGCATCAGCGGCTCGGAACGTCACTGCTTCAGATAGAATCCATTATAATCTATGGACTGTTTCAAACCAGCAGCGACGCGGCAATTTCCAGGCGCGTCCCAGAAGCACTGCACCGCTAAAGATAGGACCAGGCTCTATTTTTGCCGCAAGCCGCTTCTGGGATGCGTCAATTTCCGCTTTCTGTAAAGCTTAGCTTCATTTTTGTTCAGGAGTTTGTGTTGCTCGAACCGGTCCCAGCATGCATTGCACTCAGGAATGGGCACACTGTGGATGGACAGGCCACAGAGTGGAAACAGAGACAGCTTGTGTCTTGTTTTGATGTTTCTCTAAATTCAAACCAAGGTTTAACAGGATTTTCACAGACGTGGAAAACAACTGGCTAGTTTGGTTAGCTTAGCCTAGCTTGACTGTAGGGTTAGGGTTCATTCTCTTAAGACTAAAATAAAACGTGTGCAGATAAATTTAACTTCTGTTGCTCTCCACAAAGCAAACTCCTACCACTGCTATGCAGACGACACCCAGCTCTATCTGTCATTTCCACCGGACGACCACACTGTCTCTGCACGAATATCAAACTGTCTCTCTGACATATCAAAATGGATGAAATCACACCATCTCCAACTCAACCTCTCTAAAACTGAACTACTTGTCATCCCAGCAAAACCATCCATACAGCACAATATCTCAATCCAAAATGACTTCCTGGCTCCTTCAAAGACAGTTCGAAATCTGGGTGTTGTGATTGATGAACACCTGACCTTTAAAGATCATGTTGCCTCTGTTGCCCGTTCATGCCACTTTGCGCTGTATAACATACGAAAGCTCAGACCATACCTAACACAACATGCCACCCAGCTCCTGGTGCAATCTACTGTCATCTCCCACCTCGATTACTGCAATGCCCTTCTAACTGGTCTTCCAGCCTGTACAGTGAGACCTCTTCAAATGGTCCAGAACGCAGTGGCGTGTCTGGTCTTCAATCAGCCAAAAAGAGCACACGTCACCCCTCTGTTCATTGAGCTCCACTGGCAACCGCTAGCAGCACACATCAAATTCAAATAGCTAACACTAGCATACAAAGTCCGAGATGGTACGGCTCCCATCTACCTGAATCCTCTTGCAAAGGCTTATGTCTCGGCCCGGCCGCTCCGGTCATCACAGGATCGTCGGCTAGCAGTGCATACACCACGCTCAGGACAATCCAGACTCTTCTCATGCATCGTTCCACAAATGTGGAATGACCTTCCAAGCACTACCAGAACAGGGGCTTCCTTTTCAATTTTCAAGAAACTCCTGAAGACCCTGTTCTTCAGAGAGCATCTTCTAAACTAGCACCCTCCCTGCACCCGTCCCCCCTCTCTACTGTCCTCTCCTTGTTCCCTACTCTCCATGGTTCATCGTGTTGCCTCACTGCGACCTATAACTGACTGGAAATTGGTTGTTGTTATTGTTGTTGTTAGCCTCAAGGGCAACAAGCCGATTATCACTTGTAAGTCGCTTTAGACAAAAGCGTCTGCTAAATACATAAACATAAAACAAACTGCATTTAAGCTCATTTTTAATAAAAGTTTGAGTTCAGCGTGGCCCAGATCGAAGCTCTGCAGATTGCTTTTAGGTTTTTGACCCCATCAATTAGATCAAAGACTTTCTCCTTCGTCCCTGTCCTCCTGGTGTGCAGACATGTGTACGACAACGTGGGGCTGAAGGAGAACCAACACATCTACGAGAACGCCAAGCAGTTGAGGGACGCCACGCCTGATCTGATCCTGGCAGTCAAACCCAAGGTTCCCTTGGAAGACGAGCAGGTGACAAATGGAGACACGCGAGCTTGTCCTCCGTTGTTTCCTCTTCATCTCATCCTCTTTCCTGACTCTAGTTTACAGGAGCTGATTTTGATGACGACAGGGCTTCGGGGAGTGACTCCTCTCTCCCGTCATCCCGGCTGTCAAGTGTGGACAGAGCTGAGAGAAATTCACGAGCCCTAAGTCTCCACAACTCCATCACTAAGAGTAAGTGCTTAGATGTAGTTATTTATAGATGTAGGTTTAGTCCAGCACAGCTTTTGGTCATCTGACCCTGATTTTGAGGTTAAAATAAAAAGCTCCATGAAGAGACAACAGCTGGCCCAATTCCTAAAACGATTGCAGGTTTTCAAATCATCTCTGCTCACTTTGGACCATAAATTCTGCTTCTGCCTTAAATCCCCCTCTGTATTATCCCCTCTGCACTCTTTGTTCCTCTTCCTTCAGCGATTCTGATAATCTAGTATCATCACCCCTGCTCTGCTGCCCACCCAGCCAGCGATGGGATAAAAGGGGGGACAGATGGGAGGTGGGAGGGGAGAAGTCGTAGGCAGCCCCCAAATAGAAGAACCCCTCTCCCACCATCTGCTCTGCCTCCACAGAGACCACGACTCATCGTTTAGGCACCAAACGAGCACACCCGCTCGCCAGATCCCTCTGATTTTTGTGGAGGCGGATTCTGAGGACCGATTGTTTTGAATCCTTAATAGGAAAAACTCAAAACTGTTGAAATCTGACCCTAAAAACAATCCTTCAGCAGCATTTTGATGATTTTTCAAAAGTATTTTTAGAAGATTAATAATGGTGAACAGTGATGTTCACTTCATTCTTTTCTTAGTTATCTGTCATCAGTTACATCTGAATGTAATCCGGCCAGCAGAGCTTCCTTGTGTCTGACCCACATCAGCGCAGCAGCACCCTCAAGTGGACACTTGTTGTTAGTGCAGAACCAGAGTTGGCCCAGATGTTTCCAACCTCTGCAGCCCTGCTGGACCCCCCTGCTGATGCATCTGGACATTTTTCTTGCAGTCCTCTCTGAGACAACAGATTCGACCGATGAGGAGTGGCAGTCCATCACTGGCCTGGCGGCGGCCTGCCGCGGCATCCTGGAGGCTTTGTCACGAGAGGGTGAGGATGGTGCAAGCCTTTGATTGTGTGTTTAGTGTTTAGTTGGTTTGGTGGTTCGTACAAGCACAACACAGTGAGAGACTCAGATTTTTAAGTACTCACTTAAAACAAAACTTGTGCCGTCTGCCCTCTAGTGGATTTACTAACACTTTTATTCCAAGTTGCCAGATTTTCTTGTAACATATTAAAACGGTTTAGATCAAATGATAAAAAGATTTTCTGATATTTTTACTATGTTTTAGTTTTTACTGTTGCTGTTTGTTTGGTCACCTTCAAGACTTGATCATTGCTCTGTTTATAATTCCTAAAAAAAACTGCTAAAAGTAAAAAAGTGGACAACAAAAGGGGAAATTTCAAGGCTAAAGCAAGTGTTTCTGGTAAAGTAAAAGTATCTGAAAATTTTCTAAATATATAAAATGGATTTAAGAGCTGAAATGGACCTGAGAGATGCACCAACCTTCAGTAGATCATCTTCTGTAAGACCAAATCACAAGAACCTGATTTCTCTAAGGCAAACGGTACAGAAGTGATGTGATTCTGGTTCTGTTGACGATAACGTGGACAATGTTCCTCTTTGCAGACCGTAGATCTGGAGACTCCTCTCAAGGAGGAGCGGATCAGGCTGACGGCAAGCTGAAAGATTCTAAGGACAGGTGGGTGACTTCTATAAACAGCCTCCTCCTCTCTCAGCCTTCTGGCCTTTACTGGTTATGTTGTTTGATTCACAGGGATGCCCTTCTCCCTATTGGAGGAACATCTGATTCTCTTCTCTGATCAATTTGATTTTCTTTGATTTATTTATGATGCATGGTGCAAATTTATCTTCCAGGCATCGTATTGGAAAGCACTTAAAGATTAACCCTGTCCTCTTTGCCTGCAGCAGGTAGTTATTTATAGCTGCAGCTGGTCTGAAGGAGTGCCGGCGCGTCACACTCAGCAATTACTGTAAATTGACCTCCAAGTATTTCAGGTAGCCTGGATGTGTTCCTGCACTCCGAGGCTGCCAGAGCCGTAGAAGACAATCAGACTTATTAGAGAAAGTTGACGGGAGGTGTTAAAAGAGAAAGCTCTCTTAGAGTCTCATTTGTTCATGCGGTGGATTTAACCCCCCTGGCACTTTTGGCTGATAAAGTGCTTCTCTCTGCTGCAGCGACTCTCCAGGCCACCTAGAAGAGAAGGTGTCGCAACTGGAGGCCATGCTGAAGAAGCTGCAAGATGACCTGCAAAAGGTGCTTTGACTTCCATGAATGTTAATGTTTGTAAATATATTTTCTAGCTCCACTAGGAAGTCAGCAGGTAGGAAAACAAGTATTTACTTTGCTCAGCTTCTTTGGCTGGAGCCAGAAGATTTCTATTTACTGATGCAGCCGCGTGTTCACGAACCCTGCCATCCATGCACCGCCTCAAACCACTATAGAGATGTAAAGAAAGATGAAAAACACTTAAGAAGACGTTTATTTATTTATTATTTTGTTTACAGAAGCATTTTCAGATTTTTGTAAAACTGCAGTCTCGTAATATTTTACGTGTATTTATGAGAAACCTGTTCTCTGCTGTTATCGAAACTTTTTTGTGTGTGTTTTTTTTTTTTTTTGCACATTTCCACCGAACACGAGTCTGTGTTGCTCTGTTTATCTTTCCTGTTGATGCTTCAGCAAACTGTATGTGACGAACTGGGAGGCTTCTTTTGAACGCTGAATGCAGCTGCCTTACGAAAACAAGATTCTCAGCACAACGTCCGCCTGTTTCTGCAGAACCTCCAAACAAGTGTCGCGGCCTCGCTGAGCAGCAGATCCAGCTGCTCGCTCAGCCGCAGACGAGCGGACCTTGTGTTGAAAATCGATTTTGCCAATACTGTCTCTGTGTGTGTGTCTCTGTACATAGAATGCATGATGTTTCTCCCGACTCTGACACGTTTTCTATTTTGAGAACTTTTTGGGTCATTTTCCTCACTAGTTTTATTTTATTTTTTTACCTTCAATTAAAAGATTGATTGAGAAGAAAAGAATCAGTCATTTTGACTGTTGATTGTTTATTTAATAACCAGTTTCCAAAGAAGAGGGGGTGCTGTGTAGAACGTAAATAAAAACACATTTATACATTCTTGTTATTTCTTCTGATTGAAAATATGTTTTAAAAACAATTAAATGTTTTGGTTCATTTTGGTCTGATGTCAGCAATGTATTGAAATAAAACTAAAAGTCATCCTAGATCAGGGCTGGGCCGGTATCCAGCTCGTTTTAGTGGTTTCTCAAGTGTGACTCACTTAATTCAGTGGTTGATTCACCTGTGCAGCAGCTCATCAAGCTCTGCAGAAGCCTGTTAATCACATACTAACTGAAATCAGGTGTGTTGAAGCGGAGTTAAAGTAAAACGTGATGGATACCGGCCCTCGAGGCCCGGAGCTTTGTCAGTTAAAGGGAAACTATGTAGTTTTGGCTTCCTTTTAGCGCCCCCTAGACTCCGCTTTAACTCTCTGCCGTAAAACCAAAAGTGAAACTCTTCTTCTCGCTCTGCGTTCGTCTTTTTAACACCTTAATTTAACTGCTGAAATGTCTCCTCAGCCTCCATTCGTTTGTACAGGAGCGGTCCATCACTAAATCAAACAATGCAGCTGTGTTCACAAACTAAAAGATGCAGGAATTATACTGGAAGCGGAATCCAGCGATAGCATGTCAGCTCCACTCTTAAGTTCAGCTGGGACCAGACTGCTAAAAGTTGCAAGTGCGGCATTCTGGCCACAGGTGGGTGGCGTTTCATTAACCCTGTAAAGGATCATTTTAGCACATACTGGCTCCGGAAACTGATTTAAAATATGAAAGAGTTGAATAGTGTGGCTGTAAAATCGCAGCTGCATGAAAAAGAGGTAATTTAGCTAATTCAGTAGCTTAGTAGAATTGAAATAATCTCAGACAATAAAAAATTCTTCTGAATGTGGAGTCTGAGAACTGGCAAAAGGAACAGCCTGCACGCGGCCACAGCGTCCCTCGTATGAAGCAACCCCACAGAGAAATGTGTTCAGCTCCATAAATTAAGATCCTCAGACGAGACGCACGTTCACAGGTGTTTACGGGTGTTTACAGGTGTTGGAGCGACTCTGAAACACAATAGCATTTAGTTCACTTAGTGATGTAAATGGAGCTGGGCGCTAAACTGATCAAAACCATCTTCAGATCAGGAAGATATATTTTATAACACCCTGGTTTCAGCTCAGGCACTGACATGATGGCATATTTGAGTAAAAATTTCAGAAAATATGTTTTAAGCTTCCCTAGCTACAGCAGATGATCTCTCTCTGACGAAAAGCTCGATGTGATCCACATTTATGTCCCAAAGGTTTCAACACGCTGTTGGCATCTTGTTAAAAATCGTGTTAAAATGTAAACATGTCTTCGTTTTTGTATTGAAAAACTGTTTTAATCTTATTTACCTTTTACACAGTGACCCACCTCCCTTTCGTTTACTTGTTTTTTTTTAAATAAAAAACCCTGAAATGCTTTTCCCTGAAGATACGGCCGAGGATTCTGGGAACTTGTGACTGTGTTTCTATCAGTTTTAACCTTTTATTTATGAAAAGTAATCATCAGACTGTTCAGTCAGGAAAACAACGGTCAGTTGCGGCCTTCTAAGCATTGTAACTGATGAGGTGCTTGCTCCTCTGACCATCAGCCCTTAGAGCACTGATTCTAATAAACGATATGCAACAGTACAAATCAGCAAATGTTTGGTTGTTTTCACCTGATAATTAAAACAAAACAAAACTATCCTGTCAAACAGACGATCGTCTACTTGCTAATATTTCTGTGAGTTTATTCTTCCTTTTCACTGTGTGTTTCTGCTCTGACTGTCATGTCTTCTCTCTCTCACACACACACACACGCACACACACACACGCTGTGTTCCCCATGCACCCACGAATTTCCTTAAATTGCAGCACTGTACCTGTCGCCCTCCTCTCGTTCCTGCCACAGCAATCTCAGCGACAGCTTTTGTTTCTGTTGTGTGCCGATGTTTTTCAGGAGAAGGAGGACAAGGCGGTGCTGCAGGCCGAGGTGCAGAGCCTCAGGCAGAACAACCAGCGGTTGCAGGAGGAGTCGCAGAGCACAGTGGCCCGCCTCATCAAAGTCACTGAGCTGCTGTGCAACGTCAACAAGCCCTGTTAGCCTCCCTCCGCCGCACGCACCAACACCCAACCCTGCAAAAACCGTGCAAATCCTGCAGCACCCTTCAGTGCTCAACACCTTCCTTTTTGATCATATATAGCTGCAAACACACACACACACACACACAATAACCACGGTCTGAGGTGTGGGTCTTCCTGCTGGTGAAAGGGACAAAAAATCCAAACAAGAGAAGGAAAAAAAGAGCATTTGTATGATAAAGTTACCAGTGCAGCTGTGTGTGTGTGTGTGTGTGTGTGTGTGTGTGTGTGTGTGTGTGTGTGTGTGTGTGTGTGTGTGTGTGTGTGTGTGTGTCCTTGCTTCAAATACTTGACAAGTTCTGCTGAGTAGCACTTACATAAAAAGTGTCAATTACGACTGATATAGCATGTTTTCTGGTGTCTCATGATGAAACAACCAAAAGTGTACATATCTATATATGACATACAGTATCGCTGGTTATGTTTGTAAAAAGTAGGATTGCTTTCTTCTCGGCCACATGTGTAGTTGGAATGTGTGATTCATACCGTGGAAAGCCTGAATATAAGAAAAAAAGGTGAAAATATGACAAAGCCTGTAGGAAGCTTTCAGAAGATGCTATGACGCTCACTGACACAGACTTCATCTCTGCTCTCATCACTTAGTAGTTTTGTTTTACAGGAAGAGACAATACAAAATAAATCAAATTCACTAGAAATATGTGGGGACGCAGATCAAAAGTGGACTCCTGGTTCTTGAAGGGAGACAGAAAAAGGCTATACCTCTCCTGAAGATGCAGACTCTGCTTCAGCATCCTTCCATGACTGCCTGTAGCTGTGCTCTTCTAACCTCATTACTGTAGCAGCCATACTGTAGAAGATCTCCTGCTGGCCTGAACCACAGAAAGCCAAACGGCAGCTTTTCAAAACTAGTTTCAGCTGGCAGAATAGCTTTAGGTTTAAAACGACACCTGGAAGAATATTGTGTGTTAAAGTGTTTCCTGTGTGGCGGATGTCTCCGGTGACTGTGTGGGTAACTGTTTAAGAGTGGTGTAGCGCCGGGTGAAATCTCAGTATTCCACTCTGGAGTGTGTTTCTGTGTCATGCTTGTCCCTCCCTTATAATTTTTGTTTTGTGAACTCCAAACTGGACTTGATTTCCAGGAGGTGGACACGACTGTCCTCTGCTGACAGTAAGAGAGGAGGCGTCATCGGGGGAGTCGGACTGCTCCTCCTCAGTGCCAACCAAAAGGTCCCAGGCTGCTCTGCTGGAATCAAACACAACAAACTCTGAACTTCCACCTTAAGGGATGCCAAATGTCACTCAAACTGTTTTATCGTACAAACTTCCTCCTGTAACTTTTACTTTTGAGTCACTGTGAATAACTGGTACCAGCAGATAGATATATAAAATATTAAATTATGAGTCTAAAACTTCATGTTTTATGTGAGGAAGCTGCTGTTTGATGGTGGTTTGATTGTTGGTCCTGATTTCAGCTGCACTTTCAGACCAGTGTGTGTGTGTGTGTGTGCGCGCGCATGTGCATGTGTGCATATGTGTGTGTGTGTGTGTGTGTGTGTGTGTGTGTGTGTGCGTGCGTGCGTGCGTGTAAAAGTGTTACTTATGGGCTTTTCTTTTAGCTGTCTGAGCTCAAGGGAAGGTTAGAGGGTGATAATGTGAACTGAGCCAGAAATGATCAAGTGGGTCGATTTGATGATGGTTTATTGTTTTCTTTTATTACTTTCAATATAAAATGAAAACAATAAAATCTGAAACATGTTTTAGTTCAGCTGCAGATCATAGATACTAAATATGACATCAAAAGACCTTTGGGTCACACCACTCGCCTTCTGGCCGCTACAGGGCAAAACATCCACAGTACACTAGAGGGATTTTCCCTTAATAAGTAAAATGAAGTTATTATTGGTCATGTTAAATTTAGTTACCATACTGTAAAGCATGTCAGCTGACCAAAGTGTCGAACAAAAGGCAGCAACCGCAAAAAAACTTACACCATTATTTAGAAGCTCTTCATAGACAATGAGTAAAATCAAAAGTTCATTTAATTAAAAATACTGAAAGCCACACCATGCAACTTGTTTATATATTTTTAGTAATTTTCTTGAGCCAGTATGTGCTAAAATGACCCTTTACAAGATTAATGAGATGTCACTCAAACTCCCACCGCCCTCTGTGGCCAGAATACTACATTTGCAACTTCAGAGTGGGCCCGCCACCTGTTGGACTTAGAAAAGATTTGAGCTGACATACCTGGCGCTGCAGTCTGGTCTCTATAAAACAGCTGAATAAAAGAAAAGAAAGCAGGAGAAATTCACCGGCCAAAGTCCAAATGATAGAGATGACTTCACCAGCGATGGAGCAAGGCGCACATCCAGAGGGAGTGTGTTCCACAGCGAAAGCCCACGCACAACGGGATGTATAGTTACAGAATTTTACCAGCATAAGTTTATAGTTTCTAATCAAACATGCCTGATATCAAACTACTAGTTATTAGTTCAAAGATGAATAAACACCCAACCGCATCTGACAAATACACGCTGACATTGACACTGATACTGATTTTTTTAAAAGGTCCACATTTTGTTTGTAACAAGAAAAGCATTAGTTTATTTGGATTTCACAATGAATGTATAAAATACTCAAAACATGAAATAAAATTAAAGCCAAATACAACAAAAGTAACCACTAACAAAATAGAAATGCAAGTTTGTTTTGCTAAATAACTTTGAATTTAGTAAACCCTGTCTGTAAAGGATTTGCATGTATTATTCCATGTTGTAATGGTTAGCACTCTAGTTATCAGAGTTCAAATCTCTGTGGGACCAGACTTGACCAGCTCAGTGATCCATGGTTGGGTCATGCCAAAGACCATAAGAATGGGACCCAATGCTGCCCTGCTTGACACTCGGCATTAAGGGGTGTGATTGGGGGGGATTGAGCCACCGAACTGCTCCTGCAGAGGATGGGTCTAATGTGGAGAACAAACACACACCAGTGAGACCATAGACTTGAATACGCAGACGCACCACTGGGCGCTGAAGAGCGGAACAGCATCTCCTCCAAATTGGATGGGTTCCACACTCTCCAAACCCAACCGGAGTCAACGTAAGGTGGACAACTATGCGTGTTTATTGTGCAGCCTACAGGGATTAAAGTTGACTTTTCTAACCCACCTGTTGGGATTTTCTATTTTAATTTATTTTATTGCATCATGCCATACCACATTTATGGTTTTGTGAAAAAGCACGATAAATGTGTTTTCTAGTTTGGTAAACACATTCCTCAGTAGAAATAAATGCACTGGGGGCAAATGGAGACCCATCCAAGATGGCGACTGGGCACTGCGTCAACTCCAATCGGCAGCACCGGTCCACGTCACGTCTGCGAATATACATAGATGTTCATGAGTGTGACAACTAATGCCACTTTCACTTTAGGTTAACTGGATGGAAACACAGTTCTTTAATGTCTGTCTTTCCAGATTAAGGTTTTTTCTGCCCTCTAGGGGCTTACAACTGTTATTACAGACAGCGTTCATAAAGCTAAACAAGACATTACCCATTAGCATTTCCTGTAAATTCCTTAAGAATAAAACCCAGCTTAAAAATTAATACAGGTATTAATTTAGTGGTAACAGCATTTTTAGCCTAAATAACAGGAAATCTAGAACATCATCACAGATATGTGACAATTTAGCCTGTGCCTTTATTTAAATCAAAAACAGGAGATTAAATTATTACAGAAAGTAAACAAAACAGGCTACAAGAGCAGAAGTCTGGGAGCTTAAGGGTTCTGCACAGTAACCACCAAACTGGAGGAGTGGTTAAAGCAGATTCCAGGAAAAACATCTCAGACCAGAACAGGACAGTTCTGGGAACAGCTAAGAAACTGTGCAGAACCCTCAAGCTCCCAGGCCTCTGGGTAGAGGACCCAAACTTGGAAGGATGAGTTCCCCCGCAGAGGATGAGATGGGATTTCTTTTTAAATGTATAATCACACAAATAATCTCTGCTTCTCCCATACTTTTGAAAGCTTGCAAAACCCCTGGGAAAAGCCTCCCTAAACTTCAGCTAAACAGCCAATCACATTTGGTTGTTATGGAGAACTGGAGAACTTTGGCCAATCAGCATACGCACATTGAATACCTCTGGGGTGCTGTTTATTTGTTTTCATTCTGTAATTCAAAATGTATGCTGTTACTGCCACCTACTGGCCAGGATGATTATTTTGCTTTGAGATGCACAGCTTTGGAGGAGAAGCTTGATTGGAGTTGCTCTTTAAAACTACAGTTTTAGTCTCATTTATCTGTGAATTTGAAAAGCTACTGTCTGTAACACTGCTTATTTAGAGGAGGGAAATTAATGGTTGTTTTGGAATTGTCATTTTTCAACTGTTTATTTGAACACTTATTGTGGACTCAGATGGGAAATATTTCACATATATAACCTCCCCACCAGCCGCCACTGCTTAGGATTAGATATATTTTTCAAAAACATCTGGTTTTGCTTCACTGTTTGGTGAAAATTTCTCTAAAGTCGTAATATTTATCGGATTTGATCTCAAGTGTTTATACCTCATTGTTACATCCATCCATCCATCCATCCATCCATCCATCCATCCATTTTCATACGCTTATCCGAAATCGGGTCGCGGGGGCAGTAGCCTAAAGCTTAGATTATGCTTGACGCATTTACTTTCCGCTTGGTGATGCGGCTCGCGGATGGAACGCGCTTCACAAATCGCAGCGTTTATGGTTCATGCGGCTTGTCTCTGCGGTGAGCCAATATTCTCCCAAACTGAACGGGGCAGCATGGAGCTCTACGGCATGCATCCAACACTACACCATAGTAGAAGTAAAAATTACTGTTTACAACATGGCAATCCAGCATTTTTTAACAGCGTCCTCATCCTTTCCGACAGTGCGAGCTATTTCTCTCCAAGAATTATTAACAACATGTTGATCACGGTGATCTCTGAGAGCTGAATCATACAAATGTCTGTATTTACGAACCTCTGCCATATTAGTTCTTGTCAGTCCACCATGTTTTTCCGCGTCCGACCATCCGCGTGGTTAGAAAATTTCCTAGGTGCACGGTGCGGAAAGTTTGGGCCGTGCGGAGGCGCGGTAGAGGGGCGTGGTTGTTAAAATGATGCAATTTTGCCGCGTGGAGCCGTGCGAACCTCGCGGACGCATCAAGCATAAACCAACCTTAAGGTGAGAGGCCCAGACTTCCCTCTCCCCAGCCACTTGGGCCAGCTCCGCCGGGGGGAATCCCAAGGCGTTCCCTGGCCAGGTGAGAGACATAGTCCCTCCACCGTGTCCTGGGTCTACCTTTAGGTCTCCTCCTGGTTGGATGTACCCAGAAAACTTCACCAGGGACGCGTCCAGGAGGCATCCTGATCAGATGCCCGAGCCACCTCAACTGGCTCCTCTCGATGTGGAGGAGCAGCAGGTCTACTCCGAGCCCCTCCCGAATGACCAAGCTTCTCACTCTATCTCTAAGGGAGAGACCAGCCACTCTAAAGAGAAAACTCATTTCGGCCGCTTGTATCCGCGATCTCGTTCTTTCGGTCACTACCCAAAGCTCATGACCATAGGTGAGGGTAGGAACGTAGATCAACCGGTAAATCAAGAGCTTCGCCTTCTGACTCAGCTCTCTCTTCACCACGACAGACCGGTACAACGCCCGCATCACTGCAGATGCAGCACCAATTCGCCTATCGATCACACGCTCCAGTTTTCCCTCACTCGTGAACAAGACCCCGAGATACTTAAACTCCTCTACTTGGGGCAGGACCTCATCCTTGACCCGGAGAAGACATTGTACCCTTTTCCGAATCAAGACCATGGTCTCAGATTTAGAGGAGCTGATTCTCAACCCAGCTGCTTCACACTTGGCTGCGAACCGCTCCAGCGAAAGCTGAAGATCACGTTCTGATGAAGCCAACAGGACCACATCATCTGCAAAAAGCAGAGGCCTTATCCTCAGGCCACCAAAACGGATGCCCTCCACACCTTGGCTGCGCCTAGAAATCCTGTCCATAAAGGTTATGAACAGAATCGGTGACAAAGGGCAGCCTTGGCGGAGTCCAACTCTCACTGGGAACGAGCCCGACTTACTGCCGGCAATGTGGACCAAGCTCTGACACCGGTCATATAGGGACCTAACAGCCCGTATCAGAGGGCCTGGTACCCCAGAGTACCCCTCACAGGGCCCCCGTGGGACACTGTCAAACGGCTTCTCCAAATCCACAAAACCCTCCTCTCCAGAACCCCTGAATAGACCTTACCAGGAAGGCTCAGGAGTGTGATCCCCCTGTAGTTGGAACACGCTGCGGTCCCCCTTTTTAATTAAGGGGACCACCACCCAGGTCTGCCAGTCCAGTAGGACTGCCCCGGATGTCCACGCGATATTG